ATTACATAACTCCAGTCTCTAATCTATGCCTAGAGAGTTTTCAAATTATATCTGTGTATTTAACCTATAAATGATTATGGATTTCTCAAAATGAAAAATCATCAAATTATTTACTAACTTAATTTTCTAAAAAAAAATTTCGGAATAAACAGTTTATAGATACCTAATTATTCAAATAGAATATTAGATCTAGAATTATTAAACTACAGTAAATGTATTTACGGTTATAAACAGATGTTTTACCCATCCATGAAATATTTTTTATATTTCACTTCTTCATTCAAGTACAATAAAATACTATTTTAAACAATGTCATTGCCTTGATTCGGTAGATTTTAAACACTTTTTTTCAAACTTAAATAAAGAATTTAGATTTTATATTTAAGATGTAAGAAAATTTCATTTGATTTCCTTGGAAACATATGTTTCTTATTAAATATTGTTAGTTTTCAGAAATTATTATTTATATTTTTTTCATCACCCTCCGTTACCTCTTACAACTTATTTATTAGATATTATTTTTTCTAAAATTTTCCACTTTCCAACGATATATATATATATTATATATATATATATAGAGAGAGAGAGAGAGAGAGAGAGAGAGAGAGAGATACGTGTACCTTTCCGGAGAATTATTTTCGACCTAATAAACATTTTTCCTTTTATTTCCATTGCCCAATTATCAAATTCTTTTAAGAGTTACATTTAGCAGTTTTCGTAACTCCTAACGAGACAGTTATTTTTATTTTAAATAAACAAAATTAAAGGTATTTTAGAGGAAGAGCTTGTTAAGCGACTTCAATAGGGATAAGACCTAAATGATACTACAGATTACTTAATTATACGTTGATACACCGTATATATATATATTTGTTTTGTTTTTTTACTTCCTCATTTCTTTTACTTTCACTTAGTTACATATTAAATATATAGTAAGGGGAAGTATTGCGATCGTGAAAATTTTCGGTTTATCATAAAATACATACATCCATATACATATATTTAACTTAATTCTATTAATTTTTAAATTGTCGTAACATAAATAATTAAATGTTAAAATTTTACTTTCAATTATCTATATATGTAATATAAAGTAAGGGAAAGTAATCCGATCGTGAAATTTTCGAACATGAGTTTTCAACGGAAATTACATGTTTTGAGGTCTCCTGAGTCCAAATAACAAAGTCCCGAAAATGTTCTGTGTGTGGGTATGTATGTGAATAGTCTAGCTCAAAAACAAAAAGTCCTTCAAAAGTTAAATTGCATATTTAAGGTTTATATACACCTGTGATGTTACAGAAACTTTTTCGTCAAAATTGGCAAACCATTTTATATTTGATTTTATACATTTTTACGATTTTCTCGAAAACGGCTTTAACGATTTTGATTAAACTCGGTGTATTAATGTATACTTAAGTAATCTTTAATATCATTAAAGTATTATCTATATTAATGCCGCTTAACCTTCATCCTTCAATATTCCTATAATTTGTTTTATTTTAAATAATGAACTACCTCTCATTGTTAGGAGTTATGAAAGAAGACTAAATATAACTTTTGAAAGAATTCGATAATTGAATAAAGGAGAAAATAAGAAAAATGCTTATCCTAGTCGTAAATGAATCTCTAGTAATAATAGGTAGAAGGTATATGTATAATAAATCGTAAAAAAGTTGAAAATTTTAGAAAAATATCCAATAAATAAAGTTGTAGAAGATAAAGAAGAGCGAAGAAAAATATATAAATAATAATTTCTTAAAACTATCATTTAAATGTTTCCAAGGAAATTAAATTAAATTTACTTACTAAATGTAAACTATAGAATTTTTTTTATGAAGAGAAGAATAGTTGGTGTGGTCAGTCATAAAAGAAGGCAAAAATAAATGATAATATTTATTTTTTTACATATGCCGACGTTTCGACCTAAAGTTCAGGCCTTCATCAGGACTAAGAAAATAACCAGATAACAAGTTATGAGAAACATAAGTAGTGATGGTAAAAAAAAAATAAAAATAATAAATAAATATAAAATAAAATGAAATTGTTAGAATAATGACAACAACTTAACAATTTCTAACAATTTCATTTTACTTTATATTTATTTATTATTTTTTATTTTTTTTAACCATCCCTACTTATGTTTCTCATACCTTGTTATCTGGTTATTTTCTTAGCCCTGATGAAGGCCTGAACTTCAGGTCGAAACGTCAGCATATATAAAAATAAATATTATCATTTATTTTTGCCTTCTTTTTTGACTGACCACCCCAACTATTCTTCTCTTCATTATCCACGACAGTCAAACATTTACCAATTATGAATTTTTTTTAAGTTTGAAAAAAGAATTTAAAATCCATCGAAACAAGGCAATGACATTGTTTAAAATACTATTTTATTCCTCTTGTGTAAAAGAAGAAGTGAAATAGAGAAATATTTCAGGGATATGTTTATAACCTTATATACATTTGTTTTACTTTAATAACTCTAGATCTGATATTATATTTAAATAATTCTGTATCTATAAGTCATAATCAAATCTATTTCATGGGGAAATTAAGCTGTTTGGAGAGAAACGAGTGATAAGGTCGTGCACTGAAAGATGCGATCAAAAAAAAAAATTGATAAAATTTATTGCACCCGAAGCTGTTGCTAAGGAAACAGTTATTAAGGAGATTAATGAAATGCAGAGCTACTTTCACGTCATGTCGATGTCATTACATTTCTTGAAAAAAATATTGTTTCAATAATAATTACTGTAATTTGGAATTCTAGAAATAAAATGACTATTACAAATGTTGGTAATTAAAACTTCCAATTTATAACACATTGTGTATTTGCTATAATTTACAACACTTTAAGTTAACGTTTCGGGATACAGTGGCAATCTTCAGAACTTCATTCCTATCTGGCTTCCATTATAAGATAGAAAGAAGGTTTATTAAAATTAATATATGTTACAATATCTGTCAATGTTAATGCTGGTAACGGTTTGTTATATTTATCTATTTACGATTTGTGATCCTTTGTCATAATTTTTTTTTTTTATTATAAATAAAAGTAATATTACTGCATTATAGGTCTAGAAATTGCGCATCTGTTAGCTACTTAGAGTTAGTTATTGAAATTTATTCTTGATTATTTCTTATTTTTCTATTGATATTTGTATGAATGTTGATTATATATCAGTTTTAATTTTACTATATTTATTACCAATAACATAGTAATTTAGACAGCTTCCGAACAAAAAATGAAGAAGAATGACAATTATAAAGTATTTGAAAGAAGGAGATGGTCCGGGGTGACGGTCCTAAATAGGCTAAATAGTGGCAAAACTATTTTATTAAAAGCCAACGTTTCGACCCGACTTTGCAGATCTTCTTCAGGGCTAGAACGGACAAGATATAAAAAGATATAGAGAATTGTGGAAGTTACGTAATATTTAGACTTATAAACAATGTGAATTAGCTTATTCAAATTATAAACAGTAAGTACATTAAAACATAAACAGAGTAAGCTAAGTAACAAGATCATAAACTGAAGTAAATAGATGTTAACAATTATTGTATTGTATTGTACCATTAAATATTCAATATAAAGTATTTGCGTAGCTAAACAGAGTTTCTGACCTTATCCTAGATTAGTTACTGAATATTATTTTTAATCAGTTTCATTATGACTGGAATTTTTATTTTTCAATTTGTTTCTTTTTTATTTCGGAATTAGAATTTTACCCCAGGCGACTTTAAGTAAGGGTTTTAAAAACATTTTTTGCTTCCTCACTACCAAAGGTAGGGAAGCTTTGTATTCCTATGGGAGGTCAAAAAAAAATATATTTGCTCAAAATCGAAAACGAACGTGTTATTCAGGTACCATGGTTCGTTTTTTATGAGTCTCACTAATTTTGATTGGAAGGTTTCAAGTTTTTTTAGATGGGTCTTTTTAGCGATATTATATATTTGTGATGAGTATGTCCATATGGGTTTGAGTAAGAATATGTGTTTAGTTTCTGTCTCAGTCTTTCTGTTGAAAAGTTCTGTTGATTTCACCAAAATATAGATCTAACAAAATGATCTGTATGTTTAGCTAAACAAACAAACGAAACATTATTAGAATAAAGAAATAAATTTAATAAATAAATTATAACTTTAATCTACACCCAATTAACGCATTTTATTTTATAAATTTAAATAAAACTTAAACTTTTATCATAAACCTTGAACTTGATTATAAGAAATGTGCCTTACAACTATGATTTGAAAAACAATTTTCTTTTACAAGATTCAGAGAAACCGATAAAAAGGGTTTTTTCAAAAATTTGCATGAAGTTTTCAACTCTTCCTTAAAACGTTTCAATTATTCTTTTCTAGCTGTCTATCCTATCCTCAGTATTTCAGCCACCGATGCATCGATTATTGACTTCACATTATTAATCGAACCGCGATAATTCAATAAAGCGTTAAGAAAAACCTTAATTGCTTCTTTATCGTACAGAAAGAATTAAACATCGATGAATCGACTGATAACTCCTGTCAATTCTTCTTTCATTCTGTCGAATCTTAAAAGAATATTTACTTAATGACAAATATCATGAGACAAAGAAACGCTTTTCAAAAAATTATAATGGACAAAGTCTACTCAACTATAGTTGTGACACATTTATTTTATTTTTTTGCCGTATTTATTTTTATGCATATATATATATTTTTAATCACGAATCATTAAATACGCGATCTGGAAATGTATAACTGTTCCCCATTTTAATTATTCGCTTTTTTGGTGATAAGCAAAATTCGTGGATATCAGACCCGCGAATATTGAGGGATTGCTGTATTTCGAAAAATTGTATTTCCCCTTTGAAATATAGAGAAAATAAAAATGGTGAGGAAGCTATACTGACTTTACTTGGCAGACTTTTATTTATTTATTTTTTTACTTGTGTTTTTAAAACGAAAAGTGAATTATTTTACTGGATTATTATGAAATACAAAGAAACAACAAAATAATAAAATACAACTATATTTGTAAAAAAAAACAATAATAATAAAATTAGCTAACTAAAAATTAAATATATTATTGACAATCCATAGCTTGATGGTGTAATATACACTGCCGTTGGACTTGCTGGCAACTTCCAAGTTGAAGTCCGGCTTCAGTGTGGCCAGTTCGCTGACTATCTGCTTCGACAGCGCTATCCTGTTCAAGTGGCCGTTCACCGAACCATCCGAGGGGTCATCCAGTTCTATCACTCTGCTGAATTCGGTTATGTTGTTGATGGAAACTGCAAAAAAAAGAAAAAGAGAATTATGAAGAGAAGGATAGTTGGAGTGATCTGTCAAAAATAAGTAATAATATTTATTTTAACATTTTCCGACGTTTCGACCTGAAGTTCAGGCCTTCATCAGGGCTGATCGCTATTGATAGAATCAGATATCAACAACCTGTGTCACCTCCACCAACGCCTCGCAAACAGTACCGAACAACGAATTTTTTTTTCTCAAATGCCGCTCAACTCCATTTTCCCAAAATTTATCGAAAACTCTTGTAATCACATTTCTATATCGCCTCCGTTCAACTTGAGATTATGAAGAGAAGGATAGTTGGAGTGATCAGTCAAAAATATATCAGGTGATCAGTCTTCGATCAATAGCGATCAGCCCTGATGAAAGCCTGAACTTCGGATCGAAACGTAGGCAAATATTGAAATAGATATTATTATTTATTTTTGCCATTTTTATTTTTGACTGATCACCCCAACTATCCTACTCTTCATTATTCACTACAGTCAACCATCAACTCACAATTAAAAATAAAATTAATTATTTCTGAACTTATAATCATATATTTATACTACTAAAATAATTCGTAAAGAAATATTATGAATACAATACAAATCATAAAGTCATGAGTCTATAAAGCACAAGTGAATAATTAATTTACCAACGTTTCGACAATTCAGGCATCAGGGCAGAAAAAAAAAACATATAGAGAGAAAGAGAAAATAAAATTGGCTTTTGATATCATCAAGTCATCCAGCAACATACTGAACAAAACAGGAACGTTACATAAACAGCTGATTACCAGAAATGCATTGGGTGCATGATTAGAAAAAATATTCATACTTTAAATATAATTATACAAAAATGCTTCAATAAAATTAAAAAAAAAAAAAAAAAAAAAGGAAGACCAAATTAATAAATACCAAAAAACTGGAATGTGTATAAAACACAGATGCCCCATAAAACTAAGTTGATACACAGCTGTTTTACATAACCTTACTCTCTTAATTCTTCATTATGTTTTTTGGATGGCTTGTTGGAATGCCAATAGCTATTATTTTTTTTTCCTTTATTCTTTTCTTTTATTTTACATAATGTTTACTTAATAGACACTTTAAAAGTATTTCATAACCTTAATGTGGATCACAACTTGTGAGGAAACTTAAGTAATATATAATTGTTTTATATAATTAACAAAAATTCCCAAAATAAATTCTTGGATCTTTGCAATGGGTTTAATTTACAGTAGATTTAGTTTTTTACCAAATTCATTTTTTCTATAGTCAATTAGTTTATTAGTCATGAAACATTTAGGAAATTCTGACAGGATATTTTGTACAAGTAATAGACACTCAGGTTTTGGGTTCAACATATTTTTTATATAATTAACAAAAATTCCCAAAATAAATTCTTGGATTTTTGCAATGGGTTTAACCTACAGCAAATTTAGATTTTTACCAAATTCATTTTTTCTATAGTCAATTAATTTATTAGTCATGAAACACATAGGAAATTCTGACAGTATATTTTCTGCCAGTAATAGACACTCAGGTTTTGGGGTCAACTCATTTCTTTAAGTAATTAAAGAAAATCCCAAAATAAATTCTTCTCAGTTTTAAACCAGGGAATGGCTAATTACAGATGAATAAATAAAAAAAATCAAAATTATTTCCTAAAGAAAAGTGATCAGGAAAGCTTCTTGAAACAAACATTCGGCTTTGCTCTATTAAAATATCCACTGGTAATCAACTATTGTGGCATGATATCTATCACATGAGGCTCAACCAATCACCTTCCTAAGTGTTCTAGCTTCAAATTTAATCCCATTCGCTCTCTCTAGATATATAAAGCTTATTACATGTTAATAAGTTGAATTACTGGTACATGTACTCAACATGTGATCTTGTTTTTCTCCGCCATAATGATGGCTGAATTGACGAAACGATGGAAAATAAAAGGGGTTACAAATAAATGACCTGAAGACAGATGAATGTGTCACAAAAAGGAAACCCACTCTGAAACAGGTCAAAACCTTAAAATATTTGGGTGAATTTCACGGAGAAATGACGAGTGCCAATTTTAAAACTTAAAATCTTACTTAATATAGGTATGCATGTGTTTTTTTCTTAGTTTTAATTTTCTTATTTTTTAGGTTATTTTATTTTATTATCTATTGTATATACTTTTGATTATTATTTTGTTCTATTTATTTTATTGTTTTGTACATATAGTGTGAATTTCATCCTACCTTACTATACCAAGTCCTCACTATGTCCAAGAGACAGATTGTTATAATACTCAATAAAGAAATAAAAAAAAATAAAAAAATCTTACTACAACTACAATAATAATGATTGGGAGTTTTCAATTGTCGACGGAACGTTTAACTCTGTCATTAATTCCGCGCCTCTCCTCTGGCCTGAGAAAATCTCATATAGCCGAAAAGGCAAAAAAAGGAAAATAAAAATTACCATTTGAAATGTTGAATAATGATTTCTGTTCCCTTTCGATCCCATCAACAGCCTCAGTATCGTTGACGATGACAGCAACTTCTTCTATGATGACTGGAACTGGAGCTGGAGTCGTCGTCAGAGAGTTGTTCCTTTCAATTAGAGCCTTCTCCAGTCCTTCCCTCCCGGCCTGGATGATCGGGTAGTTGCGGCTGCTGCACTCACCGCGGAAGTCGTCGTTGTCCAGGGTCCAGAACATTATGCCGCTCAGGCCGTTCTCCACGCTGAACTCAGCCTGGAAATATATTGAATCATGCTTAAAAATATATTCTGCATATATTCAGGCATAAAGGAATTAATGAAAACTATGAGAATTCTATGAATTCCTGAAAAGTTTATTATTTTAACATAGATGACGAAAAGAGCTACGAAATGTTAAGTCAAATCCTGCCAGACTAGGTATCCCCACATATATTATTACAGTAAGGCTCGAAATCGGTTTTGTACCAAATATAAGCTCCTGTCATGCTCAAATACCATGAATGGGGTACCGTTGGATTCAGAATTTCACAGGAGATTAGCAAATCGTATTCTCCACTTTTGTTTTTCTTTCTAAAATAAATAAAGTCGATACAAACATTTTGCTAGGCTTCAATACTGGAACGGAGGTAGGTCTGTAGATCGATATGGGACAAATCGAACCTTGAAGATTTTGATGCGTACAGCAAGATCCGGAACTATCGAATCCTGAGTTTTTTAATCCCAAAACATATTATTTTCGAGATAACGCAAGGCATAGTGTTCGCATCCACACAGCCTTACGTTAATTGTAGTACTGTCATTGAATACATGTCTCATTTCGTAGACTTGAGGCCTCTATGATCGAAAAAGGAGGAGTTTATATTATTTATCGATGGTGTTTCTGATCACCAAGCCATATCATCGTTAATTTTTCACCAAATCTCAAGATTAATCCACCAATTTCGAAGGTTTCCTTCTCCTTCAGGTTTGCAAAAGAGTCCAATCACCCAGAAATTTCAGGCAAACAAGTTATAAAAAAAAGAAACTTTATTTGCGGATAACTAAAAAATTACACACTTTTCCCATAGCTATGTTTTATGGTTATATAAAAGATTACGAAATTCTCTACAAAAGGAAAAAAAATCATCGAAATCGAACAATTTTTAGCAAAGATACAGCTTATTAAAAAACATGTTGGTTCCAAACATTAATGAAGATTTAAATTAATTTTTGTTTCCTTTGTCGATTGTATTTATCGATAAAGTAACAATTGATTCCTTTATCTTTTGATACGTTACATTATTTTATCTTCTTATTAATTTGGCAATTGATAACAATAAACTGTGCTAATTTTTCGCACAGGCCTACCAGTTATTATTAATATCAATAATACTGATTAAGTATTATACAGAAAGCAGGCAATAAGTATTGTTATACCCTTGCAAATACTATATTAAAATCACAGGAACTGACTTGGGATGCAAAATAACAGTTTATAAAATCATTATTAGGCCATTCGTTACCTATGGGTATGAAACGTGGATGTTTGCCCAGGAAAACGAGAGGTTGCTGAAAATTCGAGAAAGAAAAGTCCTAAGGGAAATATACGGTACCAAAAAAATAAATGATCAGTGGCGAATAAGAAAAAAATGACGAGCGCTATGAGCTCTATAATAATGATGACTAGTGGAACCATGATTTAATTTTGGGAAGCCTTCAGCCAAAATGGAAGATACTTACTACCTATATGAAATGTTTTTTTAAGTGATTCTTGAAGTCCTATTAAATATAATTACATGAACAGTAATACTTTAACAGGTAATTTTTACTTTCCTACCTATACTAGGTAAGGAAAGTATTGCAATCGGGTCAAATTTCCGACATGCGGTTTTCGACGGATCTATACGTGTCAGGGCACCCTGAGTCCGAAAAACACATTTTCAGCCATTGGTCTGTCTGTCTGCCTGTCTGTACCAAGATTTTCTCGGGAACTACTGAACTGATTTTTTTTGTTTTTTTTTTTATTTAGTAGGGTTTCGACTACCGATGCCTGTGACAGAAATTTGGTGCTCCATGTGCAATAGCTTGCGCGCAATAAATGAAAAACATGTTTTTCTATAGACTGTAGCGCAAAAACAGCTCCAACGATTTTGATTAAACTTTCCAATAATGTTCTAATCATTGTCCTTTCAATTTTCGTATATTGACTAAATTCCCGAAAAAAATCAGGAAAAAAAGTTATGAAGAAAAGAAAAATGTTATGGGGCCTAACTCCCTAAGTGTATGTTATACGGTAAAATTTATAATGAAACTTTTGAAAGGTAATTAAATTTCCAACAAACCAAAAAAAAAATCATCGGAATCGAACCAGTATTAGCGATGATACAGCTTATTCTATTTTCTACACATTTTTTTAACTTATTACTTTCCTACCTATACTAGGTAAAGAAAGTATTGCAATCGGGTCAAATTTCCGACATGCGGTTTTCGACGGATCTAGACGTTTCAGAGCACCCTGAGTCCGAAAAACACATTTTCAGCCATTGGTCTGTCTGCCTGTCTGTGCCAAGATTTTCTCGGGAACTAGTGAACCGATTTTTTTGCTTCTTTTTTTATTTTGTAGGGTTTCGACTACAGATGCCTGTGACAGAAATTCGGTGCTCCATGCGCAATAGCTTGCGCGCAATAAATGAAAAACATGTTTTTCTATAGACATGTTTTTCTAGTATCGCAAAAACGGCTCTAACGATTTTGATTAAACTTTCCAATAATGTTCTAATCATTGTCCTTTCAATTTTCGTATATAGACTAAATTCCCGAAAAAATTGAGGAAAAAAAGCGATATAGAAAATAAAAATGTTATGGGGCCTAACTCCCTAAGTATATGTTATACGGTAAAATTTATAATAAAACTATTGAAAGGTAATTAAATTTCAAACAAAACAAAAAAAAATCATCGGAATCGAACCAGTATTAGCGATGATACAGCTTATTCTATTTTTTACACATTTTTTTAACTTATTACTTTCCTACCTATATTAGGTAAGGAAAGTATTGCAATCGGTTCAAATTTCCGACATGTGGTTTTCGACTGACCTATACGTTTCAGAGCACCCTGTGGTAATGAAATTCCCTACAAAGCCATATAAAAATCTTTCATTTTGGACAACTATTAACGAAGTTACGGCTATTCAATTTCCAATGTAAGATTACGGATTCATATCCTGGTGTCAAAAAGGGGTGAATGAGAGAATAAAGATGACTAAGTGAAAGTAAGAAAATCTATTGCCTGCATCACACAATCTTCACTATTTCCTCTACATTTAATAGAAATTAACTACCTTAAGCCGGTTTACATTGCTTTAGTTCATCAAATAAATCGTACTCAAATCTTATGTTTGATCAATTTTAAGAAAAATTTATCTAGCTCAATTCTTTTTTGTTTCTTCATGAACATATGTAAAGATATAAACACTTTTCTGAAATAGGTAGGAAAGTCGTGTGAGTGGACACACCAGATTTTTAAATTTTTTTTTTCCATAAAACATGGTTACATTTTACCATTTTGGAGGAGATTTAGCCCGAAAGCCTCCCCTCTTTCCCCGTAGATCAGCCTGTGTTAATGATGACATTGTCGTCACTGTCAAAAGGTGCTGCCTCAGATGACTAGGCCATGTAGAGAGAATGGAGGAAGATATAACATCGAGGAAACTTCTCTATAACCGTCCAGGAGGGGCACGTCTTAGGGGAAGACCCCGGCTGCGGTGGATCGACGATATAGAAGGAAACCTCAGCCGTGCAAGAAGATGGAGGAAAACCGCTGTGGATAGAGAAGCCTGGCGGGAGCTTGTTTCTGAGTCCAAATTAATAATAATGATTCGGTTTCTCGAGAATTATAGGCAACAAGAGGGTTTGCCTATAAGTTCTTCTGTCTTTTTTTCAGTATTTGCTTTTTACTTTCACTTACCTATTCATGAAATATATAATAAAGGAAAGTATTGCGATCGTGAAAATTTTTGAATCTCAGTTTTAAACGGAAATACACGTTTTGAGGACTCCAGAGTCCGTCCAAATAACCAAGAAAAATGGTCTGTGTCTGTGAAAAGTCGTACTAAAGTAAAATTGCATATTTAAGGTTTTTATACGCTAGGGATGTTAAAGTAACTTTTTCGTCAAAATCGACCGACCGGAAGTGGCACTTAATATCATGGGCTAAACACATTTTTACAATTTTCTCGGAAACGGCTCAAACGATTTTGATTACATTTATTATATCAGTGTAAAATTAGGCAGTTTTAAATATAATGTATTTTTTTTTTTTTTTTTTATTGATGTTCTCTAACAGAGCTTAAATGGCTAACTTTCAATATTAGCTTCCTCTAAAGTACCTTTAATTTTTTTTATTTGAAACAATTGACTACTTCACATTACTCTCTAATATAAATGATAGTTAAATATAAAATATGAAAGAATTTGATAATTAAAGGAAAAATAAAAAATCGTAACGGAGAATAGTTGTAATTGATCGCACCCGACCTCGCCCGAAAGATTATAACAGGTTTCCATACGTAACGTGAGCTTAATATAATACGGACTCCGACAATATTATATAAATATACGTATGCGGTTTTCATAAATGCTATTGTTGGTATTATTTAATATTTAAAAGGTATATAAGTAAGAATATTTTTTTCCAGTGATTTATTGTCCCACTTTTATTCCACTCAATTATAACATTACATCATAACGTTTCGGGATCCAGTTATATTCCATCTTCACACAGTATCCTGCATCATCTTAATTCTCCATATGACTTGTCATGTTAATTAAATTGTTTTATTTTGTGTCTTGTTGCTGGAAATCCTATTTTAGTCTCCTCTAGGAAGAGTCTAGTCAGATACTGAATATTAATATTTAATTGTATAGATCACACCGATATAAATATTAAAATTTGTATATATAAGGGTGCTTATACAAATTAAAATACCCACAATGAAATATAAATAATTATAACGTCTATAATTTTTATTTCACTTATTTGTCTGAAAATACTTATTTCTTAGCAGAAATAAGTAGTAAGTGAAAGTTGTGTGATGCGCGCACCGCACCAGATGTTTTATATTAATTTTCTTATTTATCTGTTATTATTCTTTCAAGCATAACAGTTTAGCAAAATAGTGTTTCTCTTTAGTACATACAAATTTCTACTGAATTAATACCATTATAACCATTACAATAAAATATATATTGAATTTATTTATAATTTATTTTTTAAATAATTATTTTTTTTACCTTCCTTCGAACTATTTCTTCATCGTCGTAGCCGACCCATTCTTCTCCTTTGTGAGTATAAGGTCCCATAGCTGTCGTGTTTGGATAGTTCACCATCCATTTCTTATCTGTCATTATATTGGTACAAATCTGAAATTCGATAATCCATGAATAATTAAACAATAAAAATAAAATATAAAACTTTTAAGTACGATATAGGAATTATAAAACAGACAGTCACCTACTAAAAAGACTACAATAATATCTTTAAATTGGCAAGAATGTGAAAAAAAGTTGAGATCCCCAAAATTACTATCTCTTCTATTTGCCTTCAAATTTTCAACCCTCTAACACAATTTGGAAGAACTTTATTTAAGTATGCACAATTTTGGAAACGTCTAAAAAACTGGCGAAAGATCTCACAATACTCAGTTTGAAAAAACCGAAGTATTGATTGAATTTACAATGTACTACAAAGAAATCGAGCCGAGAAACCGATTTCAATTCCAGGTGCTGAAAGAGGCTAGAAGCTTTATGTATATTTTATTTATATGAAGCCGAGCATACAAACCCAAAATCATTGAATTCCAATCCTGGTTCCGTGATTCCACAGGCAATAATTAAATTATAATAAAAATAACAGGAAATATTTAAATAAATATAAATTAACGCTCTCCAATTAAGTGAAACCGTCAGACTTCCCACTGGAGGAAACTATTTGGTATATGTTTGATCTATGGACAGTCTGTCCAAAAAATATATATATATAGGTCCTCCTTCGATTTTTGACTGAACAGCCGCAATCCATGGACCAAAGTCGATTTCTCATCCTCAACTGTACCATTACAACCCATGATGTGTTGTAAGAAAGTACTGTTTCTTGGTCAACGATTGTGCAACGAGGGGATTTGACTAAGATGAAAATCATCATCATGCTCAACCTTCTGATTTTTTCCTCTTAATTAATTATTTAATTAGTGTATCCACTTTATGTACGCTGGATGATCTCAGGAAGGTCCAGACCCCAGATCTTTCTACGTCTGACGAATCAGAATAAATAATTTATATGCCATCAGCCGGTTCCGAGCCTGGGACTTCAATGATCATTGGAAGTCAGCACCTTACCACTGAGCTACCTTACTCTCTCCTTAAGGGTACTAAAACGGATATAATATCCACCTCACCCTTATGATCTTCGATATAGTGCAAAAGTATTTTATTTTCGAAAAAAATACGAATAAAAAATATAATACATTAAGCAATTAATATTAGATATTAAATAAGTTAATAAATAATTCTTCTTACATCGTAATATGCCCTAATTCCACTTTGCCTTGTTCCTTGAGATTTTGCTGGGGCACCTAAGTCGCTCGAAGTCGCGTTCTTCAATTTGAAAGACCTTCCGTAAACTGGTATTCCTAGGGTATATTTTTCCAGAGTAGCTCCTTTCCCTACTAAATATTTTATAGTGAACTCCTGGAAATAAAATTGTAATCAAATAAACTTATATTTAATTCTTACAACTGTAATTTATATAGATAATCCTCTAATTCCTGATAGACAGATAGAAAATAACTTTATTCTGGGACACAATTCCTTGAGAATAACAAAATTAAAAGATTACATCTGGCCAAAATAAAACCAATCGAAAAAAAGAAATAATGTTAAGAAAATATAAGGTAAACATTCTATATACAAAACAAACGAAACTATATACAAAACAATTAACACTATGACAAGACACTTAAAGCTATTTGCACTGATAGACCAGTATACACTTTTAAGAAAACAATAAAGAATTAAAAAAATAAAAATATATTAAAATCAGCTTTGTGTTCCTGTTGAGAAAACAGAAAGCTGAATCTGAGACAATATAAAGTGTCTGATTGATATATAAATACATTATCATTTAGCATTGATATTTGACAATGAATGGCATGAAATAAATGTATGTTGTCGAATGGTTAGCAACTATCTGACTGTTTTTGGGATAGGAATTGGAATAGTAGGGTTTTGAATGTGGATATGGATATTTTAGTTACATTTTACTGTTAATTAAGTTACATAAATATTAACTTACTACATTCAGTTCTGCATTCGGATGATCTCCAATTTCCTCTGGTAAAGGATACAAAGCTGCATGATGGTTTACGACGGATTCGTAAGCGAAATGGTAGTCGTAAGCGGCTATGTTGATAATATCACAATATCTAACATAAAAACCATTTGATTATTATTTTGTTTCTATTTATTTTATGTTTTTTGTACATATAGTGTGAATGTCATCCTACCTCACTATAACCAATGTCCAACAGACAGATTGTTGTAACACTCAATAAAAAAAATAAAATAAAAAAATCATTAAATTTAGATAATAGCATTATTTTATCAATGAACTAATGTGTCATCAATTTTATGACCACAGGGAATACTTCAGTAAGTTCAAAAATGGTTTTGATAACTTAAGTTAACTTACATGGGGAGGTTAGGGACTTGGGATCACTGATTTTAATTTTTTTTTTTTTTGTTATTGGAATTTACAATTACATAAATTATAAATAAATACAAGTTAATTTGAAACAAGTAACATGACATGTACAACATGAAGAGAAACTGCCCAATGATAGCACTCCAGCGATATGTCTACTTCAGAAGTTTGCGAGGCCATCTTCTTTTCAGGCGTCTCGAAGAGTTATCAGGGATCGAGGAGGAAGCAAGGTTTGAAACAAGAGGGTTCGGATGGTTCTGCAGTTTATTATGGAAGGATAGGTATCTGGATTGAGATAAATCGGAAACATATGGTACATTAAGGTCGTTATGGATGATTTTATTTGCGACAAAGTAGGGAGCATTAAGGATTTTACGAAGGATTTTGGATTGTAAGGATTGGATACGAGAGGAATTCGGTGGTTTAGTGGAGTCCCATAGCTCAACTCCGTCTTCCAAATAGGCCTTATTATAGTCATGTATATGACTCTTTTGTAAATAGTTGGATGTTTAGAGCGTTTGTCTAGTAAGTGCTGGAGTAGTAAAAAACGGTGTTTTTATAATCAAATTATAACTTGATTTTCTATTAAGCTTGTTTTTTAGACAGTTAACTAAAGCATGCATAACCTCACAAGGTTTTCTTTAAATTCACTGTTTCATAACAAAAATTTACATGGCCTAGTTTACTTAAAATATAATATAATATAAATATATTAAAAGATATTTTGTGAGTCATTTAATACCATAATTAAAATTTTTTTCTTATTCTTCACAAAAAAAGAAATCTATTAGTATTTAATAACCTATAAATCCGGAAAAGCAAAAATTAATAATAACCTTGAGTTGTAACTAAAACTCCTTGCTGAACACACCTTTAAGTCTCTATTTTTTTTTTCTTATTTTTATGTTTTTTATTGTATTTTTTTTTTCAGTTCTAGCACTGAAGAAGACCTGGGAAGTCAGATCGAAACATTGGTTTAAAATAAAATAGTTTTGCCACTATGTTACTCTATTTATGATCCCCACACCGAACCATCTCCTTCCTCAAAAATCAAAAACATAAATTATTTTTGGCTCCTAGGAAGCATTGACAAGAACCCTCGGATATGGGTCTGATGTTTTTCGACCTAGTATCACCAAAAATGTCTCATTGAAGCGGTGACTCCACTTCCATCATCTTCCTTGTTAATTAAAAATCATTCCATATTGATTAAAATTACAGTATATAAAGGATAGCTGTGAGTTGCAAATGGATATTTCTTCATACACTTAACACATTAGAAGAAATTTGGACTTACCAACTTATTCTCTGAGCCAATTAACCGTAATAAAAATCAATTTAAAAAAAAATAGATTTACAGTCACAATCATAGAAATTGCATCAACCAGAAAATTTTTATTAAATTTCATTTTATTTACCAGATTTCTACTATTGTAGGATCTCCGGATATTTCTTTGTCAGTTAAGAAACGATATATTTAAAAAAATGGCACCATTAATCATTCAAATTATTCGTTTGTTTTTTCCTCCACCCAGTTCATTCCATGGTACAAATATTTTTTTCTCTCAAAACTATAACTACTGTTGATTGATAGTACCTAATTCTCGTTACTATTTCCATGAAAATTCCTTTACTTGATGTAACGTAATAATTTTAATATTTTTTTGACGAGGAGAGTTTTTATATAATTACAAGTTTTTATATAATTATTTAAAACTAAATTGAGAATCATCGCTAAATTTTTCTTGTAACCTTAATAAGTAAAGATAAAAAAAAATTAATTTTTTATTTTTATTTATTTATATGATATTTACAACTGTATGCAAAAAATACATCAAGTAAATTCGCACATGGATATAATGACATGAAACACATGTTGAGAAACTACCCATTGGTAGCACTCTAATGATATGTCTATATTAGAAGATCACGTGGCCATCTTCTTTTCAGACGCCTCGGAGGGTTATCAGGAATTGAATAGGAAGCAAGGTTAGAAACGAGAGGGTTGGAATGGTTATGAAGTTTATTATGGAAGGACAAAAAAAAAAAAAATTTAATCAGTATTATCAACATAACAATCAAAAGAAATAAATAGGTGATGCAATTTCTATGATTGTACAGTGATCAGTGATATATATCTAATTATAATAATACCTTATTGAATATATGATAGAAGTTATACAAAAAAAAAAACTAAGGTGTGTGCTTTAGATCATACGATATAAGTGAAAACATCAATGAGGCGAGATTAATAATATGAAATATAAATTATAAATAGCTCATTACAAATTAGATGAAATTCTGAAGATTTCCCTCGCTTACAGTAAACAGATCCGATATTTAGTATCTGAAATATTTTAATCCATATGTTCAACTAACCTTATCATTTGGTTTTCGACATTATTTTTTCCTTTTTGCCTCCCTAACATGGGGCTCAGTGGTCTGAGACTGGTAAAAACATCTATTTTCAAAGTGTTATGATAATTCAAATTTCTATATTTTTATTGTCTGACATAGTTAACTCGTATATTCCTAAGGTTTATTCACGAATAAAAATGCCATTTTCAAAGATATTCAATAAAATATAAGTAAAAACCGTATTTCTGCCATATATTTTTTTTTTAAACTTATTTATTGAAAAATATTACAATCTGTCTCTAGGACATTTATAATAGAGTTCACAGAGTGAATTCACACTCTATGTACAATAAATAAAATAAATTATACAATTATATAATTATACATATTATTAATCATGCAACTTGTTATAAACAATTAAATATATTTTAGGCGTTTTTGCTGAATTCTGAAAATAATGTTTTGTTGTGTAATTTTTGGGAATAAGTCAAATAATTGATTTTGTCAATAACCTTATATTATTTTATTTTTAATTGAAAAAAATTCACAATAATAATAATAATGGTTGGTCTTACCAAAAAAGTTTTATTATATATTAATTTAGAATTTCCTACATGCTATAATAAATTCCGTTTTTCAAATACCTTGCTTAAATTGAAAGTTTCTTTGGGTTTTTGTCCTTTTTATGCTGTTTTTGCCTTTTCCCACCCCTGTGCAGCCTCGCGTTAAGATACAATTTTGAATTATAGCCTATTACAGAGAGGCTGAACAATTTCCTCTCTTACAGTATGCAGGTCCGATTTATAGTTTCTGAGATAATTCAATCCATATGTAAACATATTTTTATTGGTCGACTTTAGCCGACTTTATCCGAGCGTTAATGCCGAACGAAATCTGAGAAATCAATCTAATTGACTCTCTACAAAAAAAGTGGAAAACGTAAACAAGTTTTCAAGGAAGGAGATGGTCCGAGGTGGCTGTCATAAATAGACTAAATAGATGCAAAACTATTTTATTAAAAAACAACGTTTCGACCCGACTTTGCAGGTCTTCTTAAGGGCTAGAACGGACAAAATAAAGAAGTTTTCACTTCAAAAAAAGTTAAACGAAGAGTTTTGAAATGTGAAAATCCACAATTATAAAATAATAGTTGGTCATTGATCAGTGAAAAAATGACAAAGTAATTAGAAAATATAATAATGCAACGTATCATGAATTTAACGTAAACGTAAGATGGAGGAATCAATTTTTATTTTCTCGGTAACTGCTATTGACCGAGAAAACAAAATTATTTTAACACTTCACTCATGTTTTAAACCAACATGCTTTGGAATTATAACAACCTGTATCTTTGCTAATAATTGTCCAAATCCAATAATGTTTTTTAAAAGACTACTAGATTCAATGTATTAAAGAATACGTAACAAAAAAAAAAACCTATTTCTATTACAAATTCCAGAGTTAGTCACTCCTACGTTTCCAACTGCCCTTTTTAAAATTCAGGTTACCCAATAGTGATCTAAATTTCATTTCGATATTCTGAACATTTTAAAATTTAAATTAAGGGCAGATTTTTTTTAAGAAATCAAACTTATCTTATATATGGCTGCTTGTCAGTGACCACTAACATTACCGCACTGGTTAAGCATATTATAAACGGTTTAAAATTATTTTTTAGGTAATTTTAGACTGTTTTATATGTTTTAGAAGATCAGGGTATTTGTTTACTTATGACACTTTCTATATTTATTTTAAAAAATACTTTATTCCTAGAGAAACTTTCGATGACCTGCAAAATATTCATCTCTATAATATAACACATTCATGCTGGGCTATGCTGATGATCTGGTACTGTTAAGGGAAGACGTGGAAACTATAAAACTAAATACGATAACCTTAATGAAAGCCGGTAAAGAACTAGGGCTCGAAATAAACGCGGATAAAACAAAATATATTTTTAGCTGCTAAAATGGCGATACAACTGGTTATATCGATATAGATGGTAATATGTTTGAACAGGTAGAGATGTTTAGGTATCTAGGTTCTACGATTCTACGGAATATTGCGTTAAAGCCGATCTGAAGGGACTAGGCTTGGACGGCTAACGGGTTCGCTAAGCCATTTATTATAGCCTTTTTATTATTTATTTATAATACAACACATTTCAATCAATAATTTTAACAATTAATAGTACATGATCTTACATACTTTTTAAAAAAAAAAAATATCATGCAATTATTTTCATTCTCACGCCGTACCTTATTCTCTTATTTTTCTATTTAAAGCCATAGTAGATTCGAACAGTGTTTATTCTTCGTCTCATATTTTGTCTACATTTTTTTAAAAATCAAAATTAGTTGATAATTAAATAAATTCAATAAATTTTATTTATCGACTTATTCAAAGAAGAAGCCATCTGTTTGTCCAACATCATTTTACTGAATACTGAACAATTACCTTTATCACTATCTATATTGCACACCAATATTGGTATAATACAAAACAAATATAGAGACGGTCATTAGTAAGAAAATATCCTATAATTTACAAAGAAAATTATTTTTTAACAAATAAATTAATTTTTCCATTCGTAGTAACACTGGTTAATCTAAAAAAATATGAGTAGCACGTACTTATCTGTAAGTACTAAGTAAATATTTATTTTTTTTAATTCTCGATACCCCTACGCAAACCTATTCTAACTAGATTGGAAAATTCGCGATTCATTCCGTCAGTCTAACACGAAATAAATTTTAACTCACCCAGGCCGTATTCAAACCGTAATATTAAACATTAAATAATAATAAAAAAAATTAAATAAAGATATGTTATTGAAAATAATGACACTTACGTTTGCATTTTCTCTAGATCAAATCCTTTTTCTATGTATTCTACTTTTGATGGTACAGTGATGCTTAATATCAGTTTTGTTCTATCTGAAGGAAATACTTCGTTTGAAAATTCTTCATTTATTGCCTGTAAAAAAAAAAGTTATAGAAAGGTGATTTTTTAAAAATGTTCTAATGTTAATTATATAAAATATTATATATCTTTGAACAGCATATAATATGAATTTAAATATGAACATTAATAGATCCTACACAGGCCTCACTAACTCTACAACATCACTTACTTAAATTACAACATTGGTGGTTCACACTATGGAAAATTCGACTTAATCATGACAAATCCAAACATAGAACATTTACTCTTCGAAAAAACACCTGCCCTCCTAATGGACAATCAAATTCCTCGAACGGACACGGTACTTTTCCTCGGACTCACCTTCGACAGAAGGATGACATGGGGTCCGTAAGACGTAAGATGTAAGACACTTAATAAACGACTCAAACTACTTTACTCTCTTTTTTCTAAATGTTCAAAACTAAGACTAAAACAGAAACTGAATACATATACATACTTACTTAAACTCTTATGGATCACAAGCCTTGAAGAATGGTGTCAAAACTGGACGATTAAAATAAATTCCAATAAATCCCATCAAATCACCTTTACCCTTCGACGTAAACCTATGACCTCATGTCCTACAGTATCCTTTAATATTACCCCACTTATCCCTGTTAAACAAATCCGATACCTTGGACTTCACTTGGACAAACGTCTAACTTGGAATCCTCATACCAAACTGAAACGACAAGAAACCGCTCGACGTTTCCGACTACTCCAACACTTACTAGACAAACGCTCTATGCTTCCAGTTAATTACAAAAGACTTATATACATGACTACAATAACACCTATTTGGACTTACGGAGTTGAGCTTTGGGGCTCCACTAAGCCATCGAATTCCTTTCGTATCCAATCCTTACAATCCAAAATCCTTCGGAAAATCCTCAATGCTCCTTACTTTGTCACCAATAAAATGATCCATAATGACCTTAATGTTCCTTATGTTTCCGATTTGGCCCAATCCAGATACCAATCCTTCCATAATAAACTTCAGAACCATCCGAATCCTCTCGTCTCTAACCTTGCTTCCTCTTCTATTCCTGATAACCCTCCGAGGCGTCTGAAAAGAAGATGGCCTCGAGATCTCTTATTGTAAATGCATTTTGTTTTTAGAGTGCTACCAGTGGGTAGTTTCTCAACAAGTCATTTCATGTTATTATTTCTGTTATCAAATTTACTTAATGTATTTAATTTTTTAATACAGTCGTAAATATCATGAATAAATAAAAAAAAACTCATATCGACCTAGCTACCTAGAACTACCTACAAAAACTTCAAACGTTCTCTAAAAAAATTATAGCGACTCATAGCAAAAGCACCTTGGGACGTGACTAATAAAACTCTACATACTGACCTCCACTTTCCAACAGTTGACCAACATATAACGACCCTTTATCAACTATTTTACATAAATTTAAACAGACATAATAAGAGATAAGGCCACAGCTGACATACCTCAGAACATGAGGAGACTAAAAAGGCGTTGGATGAGAGATCTCCGTCCTTAGACAACCTAAGTAATTGGAACAAGTTAGGGAAGAGGTACTGCTGAGTACTTTCCTTCCCCATGCCTGTCATGTCATTATATCATGTATCGCCATCACATTTGCTGATTGTCAACAATAAGTTGACAGGCGCAAATATATTTTTGATAGACAAAAAAAAAATATGAATTTAATGTTTTCGTTTAATTAATAAGGTAGTTGGAACAAATAAATAAGTTTTATTTACTTAATATAACGTAAATAATTCATAACAATGAAAATCTTTAGGTGTGAAGATCTCCTAAACAAAGCGTTTGTGGACATAACTTCAGAGGAAATGCTTTTCTTGTTTTGAGGTCCTTAATTGATATTTTCAGTATGGCCACGAAACCCTGAAACATCCTGTATATTGCCACCAGAAAAAAAAAATTGAAAAATATATTTTATAAACGCATATAAAGTAAATTATGATTTAAAGCATTTCAAAATAATATTGGAAAGATGTATTATTCACCTTGACTAGCTCCACATAATTCTCCAAGTCCTCGGGTCGGCTTCCGTCCCTGAAAGATGGGAACTGCCAATCCAGATTGACACCATCGAAGTGATGGTTCCTCAAGTACTTCAGCAAGTTCTTACTGAAGGCACTCCTCCTTTCCGAAGAGGCAGCGATCGGAGAGAAGTTCTTGGACCCTTCTCTCCATCCACCGAAAGCTAGCAGGACTTTCAATTCGTTGTTGAAGGTTTTTATGTTCGTAACGTCTCGATACCCACCTGGAAATAAATATGATCATTATTTTACATTAAATTACCTAAATATGCAATATACACAGATAGATAGAAGATAACTTTATTCTGGGACACAGTCCCTTGAGAATAACAAAATAGAACAAAATTAAAAGATTACACCTGGCCAAAATAAAATCAATAGAAAAAAAATAATTTAAAGAAAATATAAGGTAAACATTGTATATACAAAATAAACGGAACTATATACAAAACAATTTACACTATGTATTCCATAGTGTAATGTCAATTCCATTGACTTGAAAGATGTTTATCTTTTGTATTTTAAACTGAACTGTAAAAAGAGTGGTTGAAATGTTTAGGACCATATATAGACTTTTTTTTTTTTTATTTATTCATGATATTTACAACTGTATTAAAAAAATTAAATACATTAAGTAAATTTGATAACAGAAAATAATAACATGAAATTGTTGAGAAACTACTCACTGGTAGCACTCTAAAAACAAAATATATTTACAATAAGAGATCTCGAGGCCATCTTCTTTTCAGACGCCTCGGAGGGTTATCGGGAATAGAAGAGGAAGCAAGGTTAGAGACTAGAGGATTCGGATGGTTCTGAAGTTTATTATGGAAGGATTGGTATCTGGATTGGGCCAGATCGACAACATAAGGAACATTAAGGTCATTATGGATTATTTTATTGGTGATAAAGTAAGGAGCATTGAGGATTTTCCGAAGGATTTTGGATTGCAAGGATTCGATATGAGAGGAATTCGATGGCTTAGTGGAGCCCCAAAGCTCAACTCCGTAAGTCCAAATAGGTCTTATTGTAGTCATGTATATCTAAGGTATCGGATTTGTTCAACAGGGATAAGTGGGGTATTATTAAAGGATACTGTGGGACATGAGGTCATAAGTTTACGTCATATATAGACTTAAAATTGCTATCTGCTAAATTTAAAAATACATTTGAGTTTGTAGGCTAATAAACACTGTTACGCCAAAAAAAACAAAAAAAAAACTACTTCCAGTAGTTTTTATGTTTAATAACAAACATAATGTAAAATCAATAAGAAATAAATTTATGATTATATGTTTAGTAAAAAAAAATAATATTTTACAATTATAACCTATTTTAATTGATACTTTATATAACAAATTACTTATTAATTTTAGAAATTAGTGAATAAAGCAAACAGATATATATACAGCAATATAAAGAAAAATATTGTTACTCTTATAAGCAAGCAACAAATTGGTGCATTAGATGAAATGGTGAGTGCTTGTAATAAAGTAAGAGTTGAATAAAGAAAAAGAAACTAAAAAAATTAAATGTTTATAGATGGTGTATTTACACATTTATAGAAAAGATGAAAAACAATTAGTTTAAAAGTAAAGATTAGTCAATTATAATGAAACTTTGTACAATGAGTGAAGTTAAATAGTAAGTCATCTGTCAGAAAATATTTTGAATTAACTCTCATTTAAAAGCTGACTAAGCCCACGAAAGACTAAATCATTAGTTCCTACCGCCAGCGTTCCTTATTATCTTTATTTTAATATTTGTACTTAGAGGAAGAGATCTCTCATCCACCTTCTTTTGAGCCTCATACGGGTGTTATCGGCTCTGTTGTATGTCCGTGTAAGTTATTATGAAATCTGTTATAATGTGTTCGTTAATTGTTTGCATCTGTTGTAAAGTAAAGTTATGCCTTGGTAAAAGCTCTGAAAGTTTTTGATTGGAAAATCTGTAGTTTATGTATGTGAGTCTTTTTTGCTAGCACGTATATATTTGAAACATAGGTCGAAATGGGCTTAAGTAAGTAAGTGTGTGTATTCAATTTCTGTCATAGTTATTATGTCTTGAAAGGAGTGAATATAATATTCATAATCTTGTATTTAGAGTTTTTTTTTTTTGTTCTTGATACGTGGGCCCCATGTCATTATTCTGTCAAATGCCAGTCTGAGGTATTTAATTTTGTCTGTCAGAGGAATTTATACATAGTCGAGATAAATAGGGTTAATTAGGCTAGTTTCATGTCGAAGGGTAATAGTAATATTTTTAGAATTGTCTTGATCGAATCGAATTTTGCAGGGTTTGGAGCAGTCATAAATTTTTTTTAGATAACCCACAATATATATAAAATTGAATTACTATAATCTCGTGTTAACAAAACAGATATGGTATTTTAAGAAAAAAAAATAATTTTGTTATTATTTTTTTTCAAAATGACTTTAGTAACCTCCTAAGTCAAAAAAAACACCCTATGTATTTAGCTTTTTATCTCGAAAAAATGATATCTAAATAATACCGATTTTTTTAAATGATCTATATAAAGTTTACTTACTATAATATGGCGTTAACAAAGCCCAAATTCTAAGAGAAAAAATAATTATAATAATTTTTTTTCAAAATGATTTGTCTTTATTGATGATTATGAATGCTCAAATTAATAACTTCCTTAAACAACTAAAAAGATTGCATTGAATTCGAAAAACACGCTATTTCTCAAAAAAAAAATCGAAAAATTGAAGCTGTGATGTGATAAAAAAGTTTAAATGACCCTAAACAAATTAGTTACAACTAAGAAAGGACATAAAAGAAATAAAGCATAGGAAGTAAGTGCCAGCAAAAGAAAGTAGAATAGAAGAAAAAGTGCTTGAACAAGTAAGAAGTGATAATTGGATATATACATCCGCATCTCACCAATTTAGTCGACTCGTAGATCGGCGAACAGAGAACAATATAACTTCCTTTGTCATTTCTACCTGTTTGTGTGTACTTGTTCTCAGCAAAGTATGCGTAAGAAAACTGTTTATTCTTGTCTGAAACTAATATAAGTAACTAATATATATATTTCATATAATAATTAATACAAATATTTATTACAATCATTTTTCTGTAGAAGATGAAAAAAAAAAAACTTTAGTGAAGTCCCGTCTGTCTCGAGAAAGTATATAAAATTATTACACAAAATATGAAATAATAATAAAAAAACAATCTGGTACGCGCAACACACAACTTTCACTTACCTTTCTACTTTGAATAGAAATTATTTTCTGCCAATGTCGAGAAATTAAAAAAATTTTGAAGTGGACTTTTAACGGAGCTATAGCTGAAAGTTTATCTTTATGACCACTAAAATAACAAAAACTCTATTAATTATATCAATGTTAGACAATAAAAACCTCGCTGCTCCATCTGTTTTTGTAAACCACATAACTCCAGTCTCTGAGCAATATATATGCCTAGAGAAATTTGAAAGTATATCTTTATATTCAACCTATCAATGATTATGGATTGTACGCCTATTAGTTATAAAATTTTTATTTTCCATTGTAAAGTTTAATAAAAAGAAATAACGAGATTTTCATTCGCCTGCCAAATTATTAAACTACAGTAAATGTATTTAAGGTTATAAAAATATGCTTTATGCATCCATGAAATATTTTTATATTTCACTTCTTTCACATTAGTACTATGAAATAGATTTTTTTAAACAATGCCATTTCCTTATATAGGTGGATTTTAAATACTTTTTTTTTCAAACTTAAAAAAAATAACATTTAATTAGTAAATTTCATTTAATTTCCTTGGAAACATGTGATTTACGTTAAATATTATCAGTTTTCAAAAATTATTATTTATATTTTTTTCGCCACTCTCCGTTGCCTTCTACAACTTTCCATATTAGATATTTTTTTCTAAAATTCTCCGCTTTCCACCGATATATTCCAACGATATAACCTTCTGACTAGTATTTCCGGATATTCATTTTCGACCTCAATACACATTTTCCCTTTTTCAATTATCAAATTCTTTCAAAAGTTATATGTAGCATTTTTTCATAACTCTTAATAATAAGAAATGGTTAATTATTTAAAATAAACCGAATTAAAGGTACTTTAGAGGAAGACATGTTGAACATTTAAGTCCTTTAAAGTGACATCAATGGGGGTAAGACTTAAATGATATTATAGATCACTTAATTATACAATGATACATCGAGTTTAGTTAAAATCGTAAGAGCCATTTAAGAGAAATTTTTTAAAAAATGTATAAACGTTAACATAAAGTGACATTTCCTAAAAAGTTCCTGTAACATCGCATCCATGTACATGTTTTAAATACTTAATATCAGTTTCGTACGACATTTCATTTTTGAGACTGTTCACATATATACACACACACCGTTTTGCGGGACTTGGTTATTTGGACATAGGAGGCCTCAAAACGTGTAGTTTGGTTGAAAACCCATATTTGAAAATTTTCCCGATCGCAATACTTTCCTCTACTATATATATAGGCAAGTGAAAATAAAAAGGAGTCTTTACCTTGGAATATACCTTTTAAGATACGAAATAGAAATTTTAATGATGTTGTGGTAAATAAATGATATAAAATTATTGTATTCAGCATTCACTGATAATTAAGTTGCATTAAAGTACCTCCCCTAAATAGTACTGCACACAAGACCTTTTTTTAAAATTAACTTAGGAAGCCTTTTTTTTTTATGTCTTCACATTTTCATCCACAACTGTCATGGGTTTTACAATAAGCAGATATGCTGTAACTAATAAGAAATAATTGACATTTTAGGCATGAGGAAAAAATATTACCCAGCGGCACTCCTTCCTGGTCTTGATTTATATCCTTAATTCAGGAAAGAATATCTCTCAAAGAAATTTAAATTATAAGAAAATATTTGTTTCAACTTTCATTTCAAGTTGGCTTAATTAGTATTACTGATTAATACATTTCTCAATAACACAATAAATTATTTACAATTTTCTATTTTTTTAGGGTTGTTTATTTCAATATCTACATACGTAATGAGAGAATGGTGAAATTAAAAATTCTCAATGCACATTTACTTATTCATTACAATTTTTTAATATAATCCATAAAAAAAATGTTAAACATATTCCTGAAAATATTGGCGAAACCGCAGAATAAATATATTTTAGCAATTCTAATTTATTATAATGAAATATATCTAGTAACTTTATGTACATACATACAT